GGCCCAAATCACTGCCTCCTGCATTGCCTTCCTTTCCGTCCAAGGCAGGGCCTCGGTGCTGCTTGTGGAAGACTTTGCACCAATTGTGATTGTGCACAGTGTCACAGACTGCAGATCCACGCATCATCAGTGCACGTGTGCGTGTGCTGCTGGTGAGCGCACACAGGCCTTGCACATCCTCCGTGTGTGCTCCCCCACTCAGCCCTGCCCCACCTGCTCCTCAGAGAGCTCAGAACAGTGAGGGAAGACCTCAGGCTCTGGAGCAAACAGCGGGCAGGTTCTCACCCGCGGGACCCCTGGGGCCTTGGGAACCATGTGTGCAGTCCCGGGAAAGAGTGCTACCCACACGTTTGGACACAAGGTAATAACGCAGTCACTTGCTTATCTATAGGGGAAGGACAGCACCCTCGTTTGACGGACAAGGAAGCTGAGGCTCCGGGAGAAGCCACTTGCAGAGTCACACTCTGGTAAATGGCAGATTCGGATTGCAGCCATCACCCATTCCCGGGCTCGGCCTTTTTGCTGTAGAGTGCTCCTCCAAATCATCGCATGCAAAACAGCCAGGGCCAGTGAGGCCAGTGAGGTGTTTAATACTGTGCTACACGAACACCAGCAGACAGAATAGGAAATACACGCGGCGTTTTCACAAACGGGAGAGACGCATACGTAACAGGTTCCAATGAGAAAGACGGCGACTCAAGGACATTTCGGCCTTTCACTCCCACGCTGGGGAGGAAATGAGGCCCCGCGGGTGGGCACCCAGCGTCCCAGATTCGCTGACTCAGAAGGGTACTGGGAGTGTCAGTCGGGGCTTGGGAGTAGCAGCAGCAGGTGAGATTCCGGGTCGCCCCAGGCGCAGGGGCTGGTTCCCGGCACGTAGGCGAAGTCAGCCACGCTCGCAAACACAGCTCAAGTCACTTCTTCCACGCGGAGTCTGGCCGAGCTTCACGCAACTCGTCCCACAGGCAGCGCCCAGGCTGCCGACCGCCACCGCGACCGCCACCGAGGAGGTCTGCACCCTGGGCAACGACCGCCACGCGCCTCCCGCGCCCCGCCAAGGTGCGTCCAGCTACTGCCAATGGGGATAGAGAGGCTGCCGAGCCTCGGCGTCTATTGGCTGCCATGCACGTCGGTCCAGGCGGCTGCAGCCAATGGCGTGCAGAGTGCGAGTCCAGCGGAGCCCGACCACGGTCAGACGCAGGGCCCCGAGGCGGCCGCCAGCCTGAGGTCCCGCGTGAGCAGGCGCAGCAGGTTGAAGACGACAGTGGCTTCGTGGCAGCGAGGCGAGTCCTGGGAGCCGCGCGGGAGGCCGAGTCAGGATTCGCCCGCCCCAGAGACTGCCCGCCGCGCGCGAGCCCCGGG